AAACAGAGGTGCTTGGTGATCCAGAGAGGAGTACAGGCAGTCCGGGTCGGACAGATTCAGCGATCCAGAGTTCCAGAGGTGGAACTGAGAGGATATCCAGGCAGGCAGACAGAGTCAGGATGGTATCAGGCAGGCTCGGTATCAGGGCGCAGAACAGGTCAGTTAACAGGCGGGCAGAAAGATAACTTAGATTATACTGGATTAACTTTACCGGGTTGGTATGAGATAATCTGGCACTGAGGACTGGTCTGATGGGGATTATAGCAAGGGAAAGCCGGTGAGAGATGATTGCGGACGGGTGGAGCAAAGCAGGTGTATAGACTGATTGATCAGCCCAGCATCAGTGCTGAGATCATTATTTATTTATGTATTCTTTTTTTTTTTTTTTGTCTCTTTTTAATATCCCAAAGTCGTTCTCTATATCAACGATACCAGAGTAGATTAACAGGATCAGAAAAGATGAATTTTTACCATAGACTAATTAATCCCAAACTGCTGGTGACTTTGATGCACAGGCTCCAACATTTATTGCTTTCATGTATTACTGCTGCTTACCAAGGCTGCACTTAAAAAAAAATCTCTTGAGAGCTGTACTGAACTAAATGTCTTTTTGTATACACTTGTGCGTTCAAAATGACAAAAAAAGTCTGTCTAAGTCTAAGTCTAATTTATACTGTACGAAATAACCAGATTTACAATTCAGGTTTTCTCTTAATATATTTATATCACATAATTATCTTAGCTGTAGATACCTCAATATGTAATTATTGACAAATTCAAATTCTCTTTTGAGTTCTCCAAACTTTTTAAATGTCTTTCATCTAAAAGTGTGCTGATAGCTCTTAATCATCTCTCTGTTCCATCTGTAAATAAAGCCTCTGTGTCACTGGGTTTTAACCTGGGTGTCTGGGACTTGGACCAAAGTTTACAAACCATTAGCAATTTTCTTTTGCTTGATCTGTAATTCAATTTAATTGACAGAACAACAACTCCAATAAAAAATGAAATAAACATTGCCTTCTTACAACTGGTGATAAAAACAAAACTCTATGCATATCGAAAATATTTACAAAATCATTCCTGAGTTTGGGACCTCCACCTCCATATTTTTGCGTATTCATGAAATGCTCTCCAGACTGTATAATTATAAAATTTTCCCTCGCTGCCACATTGGCATTCATGAGTCCATGCTGTAGACCTCACTTGGTTTATAGCTAAGAGAACTTAACTGTAACATTTTGAAAATGCGATAAGAAACAATATATTTTATTACGCTGTACACTGGAAATCTTCATATAAAAGGGACTTTATACGGATGAGTATGTGAGCTGAATATTTTATAATAACTGTTAGTGTTAAACATTATGTAGTTTGATGAGTCTGTACAAAGGTCATCAACATTTTGAAAGTTGTACATCTAGCCTTAGTAAACTTTAACAAGTCCTTTTCATCTTCATTCATGTTAATATAATTTTCTAACCACAAAATTGTGGCTAGTGAAAATTTCTAAATGGCTAGTAACTTCCGAAAACCATTCAGCTGGAGTTTCTCTTCAGTTTGATTGAGGGAGGTTTTTGTAGGCCTGTTTTGCACTTTGTGAACACACAACAGCTGCCAATGAGCTGATGACCCTGAACGTAACAGTAAACTCCAGGATCTTAAGACTGAACTCAACTGATGATCCAAAGTGTAATTTATATTCCCAGAATTTGTTCCACTGAAACAATCAGAGATCCCAGACTTTAGTTTAGTTAAAGGACCTCTCCTGGTTTCTGAAGCTACCAGCGGAAGCATCAACTTGTACTTGGATTCATTTTACATTTAATGGAGACAGTCTGTCCTACAACAACAGAGTAAGATTTAGGAGTCTGAGTTATAGTGATTTGTCCTAAAGATACCAAAAATACAATAAAAAGATGAAGAAAAGTTGAGCTTCAAAAACTGTTCTCAGTGTTAAGATCCACTCTCGCTGATTTGACCGCCCCTCTAGCGTAGGTTTTAAAAAAACACTAGCTCCCCATATTAGCATCCTATATCTCCGGCAGTTCGTGCCGCTCAAAGGCAAAGAGCGCCCCCAGCTGAAGGCTACGCTACGTAGCAACCAATACCCCTCCGGAGAAGTCTGTGCTCGCTGGATCGAGTCAGACTGCCTTTTTCCTGCAATTCAGAAGGTGCTGAACGCAGTGTTTTTAATCCTCGTGCAATTCAAACTGAGTGAAACTCAGTGTATCCCGAATCTTGCTGCAGCAGAGACAGAGAGGAGCTAATCCAGCTCTGCTAACCGCCGAACGACAGGGGGCCCGATTGTGGTTCGCCAACGTAGCCGCTAGAAGCCGCCAGACCGTGACCACCTGTAAGATGGAGCAGCGCCACAGCAGTGCTACAGATATTGCAAAAAAAAAAAAAAAAAAAAACTGCTACTCTGTGTTTGTCTGTGTGAGATTCTGATGTAGTTTCAGTTCAGTCTGAGGGAGGGAGGTTTTTGTAGGACTGTTTTTCACTGTGTGAGCATCCTTTTGCTGTTGATGTCATGGTAACCCTGACAGTAGTAAACTGCAGCATCTTCAGCCTGAGCTCCACTGATGGTCAGAGTGAAGTCAGAGTTTGATCCACTGCCTGTAAAACGACTTGGAGTCCAGGAGTCTCTAGAGCTAGCATAATAAATGAGACGCTTAGGAGATTGTCCATCTTTCTGTTGGTACCAGGCTAAAACCTTAGAGCTATACACATTCTGACTGGTTCTACATCTGATGCTGACAGATCCTCCCAGATCAGCTCTCAATGCTGCAGGCTGAGTCACTGTGACCTGACCTCTGGACTCTGAGGACACAGAGACAAAAACATAAAGCGGCTTCATGGTTACTCAGTTTCATTTCAGAGGTACAGATGTTCATAGAAGAGAAGAGTTTGATTCTCTGGACTTTACCTGTGAAGCAGCAGCAGAGGAGAGTCCAGATGAGGACGCAGATCAAAGTCATGTTTTAGATGAGGAGGAATTCTGTGTCTTCTGTTGTCATGAAGATCAGCTGTCAATCATCCAGTGTTGAACTCTCAGGACTATAAACTCTCCCAGAGCACTGGAGCATGAAGCTGCTGATGCAAAGTGGCTCTATGGAAATACTCTGACTGACTGATTACAGACTTTGTCAGGGGAAGTGTTGGCCATTTATTTTAATTTTCCACCTTGTCATTACACTGTCAAAGGTACAGAGCAAAGAAATTAACTCTCTGCATTTAACCCATCCCCATGAGGAGCAGTGGGCTGCTAATGTACACCCCCCGGGTAGCAGTCTGTGCGAGTGGGGCTTGAACTCACAACCTCTGGATTCCAAGCACAATACTCTACCCACTAGGCTGCATCTCCAGCCAAAGAATTGTAATAATTAATTCTTTTTTTTGTTTAGGAACCCTGAGTACACAGTGGTGCCCCCCACAAACTTTTAGAGGCCATGATGCCAAACACCTAAAAAACACTAAAACATGTTGACTTAGAACGACTGCTTACATCACTATGATGTAATAATTATCAGTATTGTAGCTTAAAATCAGTTATTTTGAAATATCTGAAGCAAAAGAGAGAGAGGCAAAAAAAAGCTAATGAAATGTTCTTCACCATAATCTCTATTCTATTCAGAGTTAACTTTAAATTGTTGATGGAAGCTGTTTTTTGATCACCGGTTTCATACTAAAATATCCCTCCTTTGCATGGTCCCAGTCTTATCTGGTGGGTGCATTCATACTTACTCAATAAAGCTAAACTGATGAGTGAAGTCTAAGTGTTAAGAAAGATGCAACTGCTTGATTAGACAAGACAGGTTATACTGCATGACACGATTGTTTCTAATCCACATATAATTTCTTTCCTTTGTTTTATCTTCCAGTCATCATGCAACCTGGAGAGCTAAATGCTGCACAAAGTTTGTAGAGTGCAGATGAGGGGGAAAATAACTTCAATTGATTCTCTCTGGAGAGACCTAAACTCTACTTTGCTGCAAAACACTTGCCTCTGTAATAACTTTGACACCTACTGAGGGAGCAAATGTCCAGTTGGCTTCCAACTAAAACTCATTTAAAATAACTTTTTTTTTTTTAAATCATTCTTTCACTTTATTGAGTCAATAATTTTCCCCAACGGTTTGTTGTCATTACACTGTGACAAGTAAGGATTAAATTAGGTCTCTGCATTTAACCCATCCCCTTAGGGAGCAGTGGGCTGCTATTGTGCGGCGCCCGGGGAGCAGTGTGGGGGTTAAGGGTTTTGCTGAGGAACATGGGACTGTCCGTGGGACTGTAGGCCACCACTACCCAAAACAGGCATTAACATGAAGGGTTGTGCCAAAGCAGTATCCACACTGTCAGCTCATTCCCCCAGCTGAATGCCGGACAGTTAACTTACCAGCTAGCGAGCCACAATCGTTGATTGTCTGTGAAACAAAGTTAAAATATGTTTATATGTATTTAATGACTTTATCATAACATTTAGACTTTATCTTTAAGAGATATAAGATTTGGTTTAAAACCACTACTTTTTAGAGTAAAGCAATGAAAGAATATTAACTGCTAATCTGTTTCTAGCTGCCATTACCAGCTTCCTGACAAAGCAGGAAGCTGGTAATGGCAGTTTGGAATAATCTCTGAGTCAATGATCAAGGAGCAAAAGGCTGTAGGTCCAGACAGCATCAGCTCCAGGCGTCTGAGATATTGTGCAGGTGAACTGCATGGCATCATATGCTACATTTTCAACTTAAGCCTGAGGCTGGGAGAAGTACCACAACTGTGGAAGACCTCTTCTGTGTACCAGTGCCAAAGACAAAACATCCAAAAGACCTCAGCAGCTACAGGACGGTAGCGCTGACTTCACACCTGATGAAGACCCTCGAGCAATTGGTCTTACACCATCTACCCCCTGGTAAAGACTTCATTGGAAATCTCTGAGGATAGTACAGGAGGGTGTTAAATCCTGCTTGGCATTTCTGGCTGTCGCACCTCCTCCGGTGCCCATGGGTCAGCTGCAGGGTCGTCAGCCAGGAACCACCATTCACCAACGTTTCGCCCCTTTAATCCTGGAACGTCTCCTGGTGGTGGGGCAGTGACAGGGACGTCTCCCTGTCACACCCTGCAGCTGAAAGATGTTATTCCCTGCAACTGTTATCTGGGGGTTGGGTGTTATTCCCCCAGGTTCTGTCCTTCCTATGCAGCCAGAGCCAAAAGCTCCCTTTCTCCGCCTCCTCAGTTGGTTCCTTTGTTGCCTTCCTCAGCCTTCCTCCCGTGACTCCCACGTCTTTCAGGAGGCGTATGGTCGACAACCCTGTGAAGGTTCGGCATCCGACCTCTACTGGGTAGATGGAAGTCTTCCAGCCCGCCTCCCGGCACTCCGCAGCCAGCTCTGAGTACTTGACCTTCTTTTGCGCAAAGGCAGCTTCGATCCCTTCCTGAAATTATTACAGACTTTACCTCTTATTAAAAATCTATCAGTAGTATAACAGTCATTATATTACTGAAATCCTTTACTTTTGCCAACAGTTTCTTAACAGTATTATGAAAATATTCAATGGACAAGTCATAGTCCTGCCTCTATAATGTTTCAATGGTATGAGCTTTAGTTTACTGATGGAAAGCAGGCCTTCCAACCTCAAAGTCTTCAAGGACTTCATTAATGATTAATCTTGAAAATATTGCTGAAAAGTTACTAAAAGCTGCTCAGCAATTTAAATAAGGGTCTCAAAACTGTTATGCTAAATGAAAATGTCATGAAAACCAAAATTCTTCATAGTGAGGCTGTACAGTGGTGCAGTTGTTTACACTGGTGCCTTACATCAACATAGTTCTAGCTTTGGATTTCAGACTGGGGTTTTGCTGTATGTAACTTCTATGTTTTCCAAAAACCCGCTGTGGAATACAGTCCATATAATCCCAGCTGGGTTAATTCGGATCATTCTGAAAATAACTCTTTGTCTAAATGACCATTTCAAACTAAATGACATACTACACATCTAGAATAAACATTCTGGATGTCTTGAAGTTAATTTCAGATCTCCATATTCCTAATATTACTGGTCAGTATTTGTATTATTTTAATCATGAAAAATATTTTTCAGACATCATAAATACATATTCGCCAAGCTGATAAATGTTAGAACAGTTAGAACTTAAAATGTGTAAACATTTCTAGATATATAAAACCTAATTCTTACAAGCATAGTTTTTTTTTTTACTTTCTAAAATTCAGTTTCTGCAACAAAAATGTAATTTTTAAAATATATTATTACAGTTTGGAAGAATCTTATATTAGTGATTTACAAATGGAATAACTGAGAGGATTGCTTTTAATAAATGTAAAAATGGACTACCATAAACCACTTTATATAAACTTAGGCATTAACTCGAGCAACAATCTTCTCCTTTGCCATCTTCCTCTCCTTTGTATCAGTAGCGTTGTTTCTGTTTCTTTCTGCATAAAATCTCTATCTCCAGTGGAGTGAAATAGGCACTTCCTGTTGCCTGTTGTCATGGTGACTCGTCATACTTGTTGTGCCGAATTTGTTAAATCTGCTTCATGAAACTGACCCCTAGTGATTGAGTGGCGACTGGTCCATACTGAACTTCACTTTTTTCTCAATACTTGTTGGAGATAGGCATACAAGGATGAGAGGGTAAAGATAACTGATGAATAGTTGTCAATAATTTTTAATTGGCAATTATTAATTTTTTTTGTGGCACTAGTGGCTTGTTTTTTCAACGGTAGGCTGATAGGAAAGGGAGTATGAGAGAGAGGGAGAGACATGCAGCAAAGGACCACAGGCCGAATTCGTACCCGTGTCGGCCAGATTAAGGACTAAGGCCTCCATACATGGGTCGTGTGTGCTAACCACTGCGCCACCAAAGCACACCCAACAGGCCATTTTCAATAAAAAAAAACTATTACAATACTATTAACAAGACAAAAATCTATGAAAGGAAAGTTAGAGCCTGAGATTTTTTTACAGACCAATAGTTGCCTGAGGCCTTAAACTGAGGAAACAATCAGTTTCTTTGGTAAATCCATATATTTTATCAAAAGAGAAACGCATACCTTGCCAATCAGAGGTATTAGGCATGTTTCTCATATGAGCCTTACAATGTAATCTAAGAAATGTAAACAATGATCTTAATGATTAATGATAGCCAGACTGATTGGTTGCTTATATAAAAAGCAGTAAAAATGCTAAAATAAATAATACAACTAATGAGAATACTTTACATGGTTTAATTATCATTCTAATTTAGCAAAGTTTAATATTCTCATGTTTGAGAAAGGTTTTCATCCTGTATAATTTGTTTGTGTCAGAGTCAGAGAGCCGTGTCTTTAACAATATGAGGTTTTTGTACGACAGTTGCATTAGTTTGTATCACTGTGGTACACGTTCGGTGGAGGAACCAGACTGGATGTTAACCGTAAGTACAACTAAGCTTTTCAAAATTTGTTTTCTCTCTGATGTCAATTTTTTTAATGTTTTTTGTCAAGAGGACAAGTGTATTTGAGGGGATTTACTTCTTATTTATTTATCTAAACTAAGTTTTAATAAAAACTTTGATCCTGGAGTTGCACTAATATGATGAGTCTTAATACCTGTTAATAATTCTCAATAACTGATAACCAAGATTTAGCAGAATAAAGATTTCAATTATATTTATGTTTTACTATGCTACATTTAGATTTATTAGGTTTTATAGAACAACAACCTCTTACTTTTTTTCTTATACTTCTTTTTATTAACAAGCGATGTGTCACTGGCTGTAGCTGAATTTGTGTCCCATTTCTGTTTTCTCTTATGTTTTGATGACAGTTTTGAAAGCGAAATTGTCTGGAACCTTTTTTATTTAAATTCAACATTTATACTACATATAAAAAACAGAGTTTCTAAGTGGTGGTTTATTTAATTTGTGTAATTTAGGTGGAAGTAAAAATCTTAACAACGCTATAGAAAAAAGCTTTATTTTGAGGTCTTGAAGTAAAGTAGGCATTCTTTTAATTTTGAATAGTAAGTTTGTTAAGAACACTTTAAAAATCATCCAGAAAGAAATGTCGGCTGTTTTCTATTTGATACTGAAACATTTCTGTTGCTCTGGTTGAGCAGTGGTGCATTTGTGTTGCGATGGTTACAAAGCCAAGAACGAGAAGTGGAACTTAAAAGACTTTAATCTGTGACTTTGCGTTTTCTTGTCTCTCTGCAGTGGGTAATGTTCGCCCCACCGTGACAGTGCTGCCCCCCTCCAGTGAGGATCTGCAGCAGGGGAAGGCCACCCTCATGTGTCTGGCCAACAAGGGCTTCCCCTCAGACTGGAGTCTGTCCTGGAAGGTGGAGGGCAGCATTAACACCTTCACCTGGGAGGAGAATAAGAGCAGAGGAGTTATGCAGAAGGACGGCTTCTACACCTGGAGCAGCACCCTGAGGCTCCCTGCAGACCAGTGGAGGAAGGTGGGCTCTGTGACCTGTGAGGCCACCCAGGGCTCCGAGTCTGCAGTCACAGAGACACTGAGGAGAGACCAATGCTCCTAGTCCTGTGCTGATTCAATGAATGTTAACTTTTTTCTTCTGCTTCAGATCCATTCCTTTAAAAACTGATTGCTAGGCTGCATCTTTACAATCTCTGTATCGTGTTCAAAAGTTTATTTTCTTTTGAAAAACAATAAAAGACAATTGATTACTTCTGCCTTTACTCCACTCCATTTATTCATATTAACAATAAATTATTGTTATTTTTCCTTACCTTTTCAGACAAAAAATAATTTCCAGTAACAACTGCTGAAGCTGATATATCAGATTTATATCAACATAGTTTCTTTGGTTTTCTGACTTTCATCTAAAGCCACACGAGCAGCAGACAGACAGAATTACGTAATATAAAACCAAAGGAGCACTTCATATTAGAACAGTCTGGATTCTAGGTTTTGTAGAATGAGTTTACTGGAAAGAAGAGGTCTAGCTTGTAAAGACTTAAATAAGGTGGGCGTCAAATTGTAAGGATGAGAGAAGCTTGTTCAGGGCTGATGGCAGAACCATTAGATTGGGTGAAGGACCCAATCTTGATGCCAACCAATGATCATCAGAAAAGAAATCTCACACAATCACACAAACATAGACTCACACGCAGCAATCTAATGACATTGATAGGTTCTTCTAATAAGACATTCTGATGATAATAATTATATCATAATTAGAAATATTTTACACATTAGAAAATTTCATGCAATTAATTGCATTTTAGTCCCAAGCGGGAACCTTTATAATTCCTGTTTCATGTGCACTCATAAATCTGATGCACAAGAGACATCACAGGTGTCATTCCACTGAGGATATTAAAGCTTATAAAACCATGGCTCAAACCATATCGGTGTGAACATTTAGGCTGAGGAGGAAGTGTGATAGCAGATGCCTTAATCAGACAGTTAGGAATGAACCAAGATCAGCAACATGGATTATCTGTCTCTGTTATTGGCTTAACAAGAAAAAGTACACTGGAAAAAATCAAAACCTAGATGAGTCATTTTTTCTTAAAATAAGTGCATTTGTTCTTGAATTGAGAAGGTAAAAGAGACATTTTGCCAATGGAACAAGACAATTTACATTTAAAATAAGAAAACACACTTATTTCAAGTGCATTTTATCTAAATATCTTATTTTAAGAATAAAAATACTAATTCCATTGGCAAATGATCTCATTCACCTACTCAAAAAAAGGGTAAATACACATAATTTGAGAAATTTCTACTTATTTCTAGAACGTTTTTCCAGTGTAGCCTCAGTGGTAACTGTTTCAATAGCAGCAAATGCTCTATAATAAATAGAAATTGTGAAGCTAAGGCAATGATTTATGCAGAGCTGAACTGTGATGGTTCTGTCAGTATTAGAAATGAAACTTTTTTATTTTCTGTTTCCAGGCAATATCATGCTATAATTAAACTTCATGTAGTGTTCACACTGCTCTAGAAGTAGTTTTTTTTTATATTGTATAAAATATCAAGGGTTTCTTAAAAAAGGTAAAATATTATAACTTTCAACCGAGCTGTTGGTTGAATGACCTAAATAGTTGAATATAGACAATATTTGGGTGTTTTGTTCTGCTCATATAATTATTAATTTATTAATCAAAGAGAAAACGTGTTTTTGAATTTAAAAGGTTGTTTATTTTGTCTATATAATATTTTCCATTAGTATGTGATAAATTGTGATTCTTTGATTAAAGACCCTGTAATTAACCCAATTAAAATGTTAATCTTGTCCACTATTAATTATAAAAACGTTTTAATCTTAAATAACAATTTCACCTTCACTAAATGATAAAATACGCATATATTATTTTGTTCTCAAACTATTTTTTCTCTCAGAGTCATGTAAATTTCAAAACGTTTATATCAAAAATGTAAAAGACAATCTAAATTAAGCACTGTTTAAGTAAGTGATTCAATTTCGAACTGTCGTTACTGTGTTATACACTAACAATGTGACAACAACTCAAAGTCAACCTTATTTAAACGGCGCCTGTGAAACATAGCAATGGAGGTTTTATAACTTAGAAAGGTAAATGTTAGACTAAACATCTCTTTAAAAAACATGTAAGAATTAATTTAAAATACTTTAACTGAGAATGATGAAAAGCAGAAACTGTTACTTTCAACTGTTACTATCTGGGGTTTATGCAAAACTTCTGCCTCAATGCAGCTGTGGATCAGTTCCTCTGTTGCTGAGGGAGGTTTTTGTACGACGTTGTATCACTGTGTGAACGGTGTGCTGTGATCTTGCTGACAATGATAAACTCCTGCATCTTCACCCTGAACTCTGCTGATGGTCAAAGTGTAAACATTTCCAGACTGACTTCCACTGAAACGATCAGAAACTCCAGGCTGACGGTTTGTTACATGATAAATAAGAAGTTTAATTGCTTCCCCAGGTTTCTGAAGGTACCAGTCTACCTCATAGCTGACATATTCACTAGCTTTACATGTAATGGTGGCAGTCTGTCCTTGAACAACAGACAAAGATTTTGGAGTCTGTGTCATGATTTTGTCTCCTGATGAACCTGGAAGAGAAGAATAAAGTATGAATTTGTGTTTTTCTCCATTGTTGTTAAATACAGTACTGTAAAGCTAAGCTTTGAGCAGAGAGTCTCACCCTGAACCAGGAGCTCCAGGATGGTCAGCAGTAGAGTCAGTAACATCATCATTGTGCTGCTGGTGGTTCAGTGGCTCTGAAAGACCTGGACAGCCTCTGATCAACACTGACCTCTTAACAGCTGGGAGCAGAGAGGCAGGACACATATGCAAACACAGAGTCAGTCACATGGTGCTGAACTCTACAGTCCATAAAGCCTCCATTTTACTGTTGAAAGATATGTAAAGTATCAATGATCAGGGAAAATTAATACTCTTGGGTAACCTGAGCTGTTGAAGTGTAAATGTGATGTCTTTTTTATTTCTTGACCTCTAAATCTTTTTTTACATTTGTGTATTTTATAGCTATATTAAAAGGTTCTCAGTAAAAAATGAAACAAAATATTGTCAATGTAATAGTTGAAATGTATCTAAAAAAACAGACTTATTCTACAGTGGGTACTTTAATTGGATAATTTTGCCTAAGCTAAAAATTATTTTATGACAATCTTAAAGAAATATAGTATAGTATATAGCACATTTATAGGCTTATGTACTATATGCTCTTTATCCTCAGCCTATTTGACAATGATCCACAAACAACAAATGTTTCAGTAAATATGTCAAAGAGCCTCATCAATCTGAAGTTGGAAGTTTTTTGTTCTAATGATCAATCAGTTTGAATCAGGTTTTGGAAAGGAACTAGACTGGATGTTGGAAGTTAATCTTTTATAAGATTTATTAACAAATTGGATATGGTGCTGTCATCTTTTTCTTTGGTTATATCTTTTAATGGTTGACGAATAGAGTGACGATCTTTGGCTACCTGTATGGAGTTGTTTTTTTTTTTTTGCCTTACTGGGTTGTTTGCAGAGGTGTGGCAGATAATGTTCTAGCCCTGGGGTCCTTTTCACGAAGCAGGTTTACCAAAAACTCTTAAGTTCTCTAAGTCTGAAAACAGGGAAACTCTGACTTTTCTCGTTTATAAAGAGAGTACAAACATTGTACATTCTTCGTTAAACAAACATTGCAATGTTTGTTTGACGAGGACCTTATCAAAGAATGATCAGCATATTTTATATTATAATATTATTATAATATTTTATATAATATTTTTTATTAAATAATTTTTTTTTCTATCAGCATTTCTTTTATAATTAAATATTTAAAGGAAGAGGATTCTACAACTCAGTTGACAGGGCATGAGATTACTCGCTTTTTTTATTTGAGCAAGATGCAAATCATTTTATTTCTATTTAGTTAAATTCACAGTACATGAAGAAGAACTACTGAAATTATTTTTAGATCACGCAAAAATAGATTCATTAATACCACGTGGGAAAAGGAATTACTTTAGGGTTAGGATTCACTCGATGATAACAACCTTATGAGCCTACTGGCACAATCTGTAGCCATTCAATGGGACTGACAGCCCCTAATAAGAAGCATTTATTGGGATGATAGTATCCGAAACACGGCTGAAAACAGTATTTACTGTGTAAAAAGAGACTGAATTAACATGAGAAGGGACGCATGAGATGATGCACAGGACCAATATATTAGAACAACATTTTGAGATTTCATCCTGACATGCTGCTAGAAGAATTCACCTAAATAGATACATTTATCTACTAGCATTAAAAAAATATTCCCCTTCATTCATTTCTATAAATTAATTTTATATCTCCATATCCCTAATATTACTGGTCAGGATTTTTGAATATGAAACTATGTATATCAGATATCATAAATACATGTTCAGTCAAGCTGATAAATGTCAGAACGGCCAATTAATTTGTATTCCCGATAAAAAAATATATGTTTTTATCAGGAAGAATCTTATTTTAGTGATCTACAAATGGAACAACAGAGTGGACAATGCCTTTAATAAATGAAAAAAACTGCCTGCCATAGCCCACTTCATATAAACTTACTCATTAACTCAAGCAACAATCTTCTCCTTCACCAGCTTTCTCTCCTTTAAACACATTCTCCTTTTTTTATTTTTTCATTTCTGCATTAAAATCTCCAGTTCCACTGGGGTGAAGTAGGCATTTCCTGTTGCCTGTTGTCATGGTTACTTGGCGCTCCATTGATAATGGCTTTTCATACTTGTTACGCATGTGCTGAAGTCTGAGTGGTTCTACTGGGAGTTGATTAAACTAGTTCATAGCAGCCATCGTGAAAATTAAAACTCAGAGTTTCTGACTTTAAACTAGATCAATTTAGAGTTGTGGATTTGAATCTGAGTTTTTTAAACCTGCTTTGTGAAAAGGACCACTTTGCGGAAATGTATACTGCTTTAGACAACATTCTTGTTAAAAACATTAATTTAATTAATTTAATTTTCCTTAAAAGAAAAAAAAAAATTGATATTTAACCCCCCACCCCTTTAGTTGCTGTTCCTAA